GGAAGATGAAATCCTTTTCTCTTCAAGTCTCCCACAAAACCCTCTCCAGACTTGAGAGAAAAATATATAAAAACGTACTATTCTATTCTAAAATAATAATAATGGTTCAGAACTTATAAAATTAATAACAACTTTAATATTTATAGACTTAAAAAAATAGCGCTGGTGGATCTTTCAGCAAAGTTAGTCGATGCCGCCGAATGACTCGGCGACTCGCCCTTCTTCTGTTTCATCGTCATTTCATGCTCGCCTTCAGCATCTTCACATTCAGAACCATTGGGCGGTATAGTACTGCTTCGCGGAACTATTCCGCGAAGCGCCGATTGCTCCTTTCATCGCCTTTTTGATCCTCTTCCTTCAGGGCTTCGCATACTGGAACAAAAGGCGGAGTCTGTCCTTTCGGCGAATCGCCAAAGGTTCTTGGCGATGCTCATGCTTCAGCTTCTTCATTCTTTTCAGCCTTTTTGTTCCTTTTTGCGCCTAAGTGTCCATGCTTCCACTAAAACTTCAAATACCTGAAACTTAAGAGTTTTCATCAGATATTGAGACAAAATAAGCATTCGAGGACACTATTTCTATCAAAATAAAGACCTGAATAAGTACAATTTGTGGACTCATCAGCTATTATCTATATCTTGCATGCTCAGTGCATTCCAAGTACTGACGCATACTCTGTGCTACATCCTTTCATGATGTAGGTTCAGGTATTCCAGATCACACATAGATCTGTTCCTAATCCATATTCTACAGCTCCATAGGATATGCAGACTTATTTGCAGCACCAGTAGTCTTAAGAAAATACATATTTTTCAAAGTTTAATATAAAATATAGAACAAAACGTACTAACATATTTAAACATATTTTAAACAGGTTAGTAGAACTTAAAGTTTAACATGCTTATGGTGTATACCTCAAATAAATCAGCAGCAGATTTTCCAATCATCTTTGTTGCTACCCCATCCCACAACATCACAGAAATTGTGTCAGTATCATCCAAAACTCTAACTTTTAGTTTGTACCTTTGAATAGTTAATTTTGTTAGATTATTGAGTTTGTATGAGACATATATAGAGAAATTTGAATTTTGGTCATACCTACGGATGACTGATTCAACAAAACCACATTGTCTACAGTATAATTTGTCCCCCACTTCATCAACACCTTTTGCGCATTTTTTGCATGCTAAAAAAGACCATCCACGGTCTATTTCAAGATGAATTATCTTTGCCACAATATAATAATTCTCTTGCTGCAAATTTGTATTGTATATACAACTGTTATATTAAAAATAATGTAAAAGTTGTGTTGAATAAAAAATATAAAATTAAGTACTTACCTGCCTACAGTCAATCAACTTCTCAATCTCATGTACTGTAACACTTCATGATGCCAACTCAGTAGCAATAGATTGATTCCTTTGTGAAGAAATCTGTGTAAGTCGTTGGGAGCTTTCTCCAGGAACAAACTTAATTCGTGATGAAAATTCATCAACTTGAGGAAGACTTGAATTGATATAAAGCTTGGAAGCATGCCAAGTGTTCTTCACCGAAATTTGGTCTGCATAGTTAATAATTTGGTAAGAGTTTATTTATTGTGCAATTATCTTGAATAGCAAAGTAGAGACTTAAATAACCTCTGAATCGATGTGATCTAATCAACTGCATGACAACGACAATAGGCTTGTCATTGGACTCATTCAAATATGGCTTGATCTGATCCACAAAGTCACCCCAAAAAGTTGTTGAAATGTTTTTATTCCTACATAATTTATATGGTTAATCATATGAATAAAAATAATGAGTTGTTGAAGCACATATTCATTGAATTGTGGGATGCGTACTCTTAATCCTGTATGTCAACTTTAATGAACGTTCGGACACTATCATCTTGTTTGATAGACTGTACATCCCCATAACTCACAACTTCTCCAATGATATCTACAACAATAGTGACAACATAAATTAATACAAAATAAATAATGATCGAAGTCTGAATAAGGAACATATAAATAATGTATTTATTACCAAATAGTTCTGTGTTATCAAATTCTTGTGGATTTGTAAGTTGTGTATATGATTTAAATTTGAAGATAGACATACTGAAATGTGGATCCTCTATCTCCTCAACGACTGTCTTTTTTGTGAACATCAACTTAAATTTGTGGTCTTTGATCCTTAATTTCATAGTATTTGGACAAACCACAAAATTCTTAATAAAGTACAATCCCATTTCCTTAATACTTTCTCTGAAATTTGGGAATAGAGATCTGTCAAGACTCGCGTGAATGCGATCGCCCTACAGATACAATTAGTTACTTAATTAGCACTCCAAAAGGACAATGAAACTGGTTGATGAAAAAGGCAAAGAATATTGGAGAGTGGCAATAGTACATAATTGTGGGATTATTCGCATAACAAGAGGATGGGCTGCCTTCGGAACACATAACAAGATAGCTTGTGGTGACAGTTGCTTGATTCAGGGAAATATTCTACAGGTTCAAAAGGTTCCTAAACATCCATCTTTGCAATGCTATCATTAGCTACTACAATATATAATCTTTTTATAGTTCCTCTGCTGTTTTCTCTATAAACTTTTGCTAAGGTAACTTCAGATAGGTTTCTATATACACTACTGCCTTCAATGTAAGTGCAGTTATATTCACCAAAGTGCTCGTATAAGCACTTAAGTTTGTAATTATGACCAAGTGGATGTTTATTTGGCAGCAAAATGCTTATAGCTTGTTAAACATTCTGCAAAGTTTGCTTGTTTGTCGGCTTTTATATTGTCATTGGATCGAATGATGCAAATAGGGGTGGAATTACAATGTTAGGTGCACAAGCAGAGGAGAATTCATAATTTGGGTTTGGAACCTAAGGGTTATATTCATAATTATCAGTAATTCAAATGAACTAGAATTTTGAATGACAAAAGGGCGGGCATATGCCCAGGAATGGCCGGACACTAACTAAGAATAATTGTCAATTGAATGACATCTAAATCCTCTCCTCAATCTCTAAGACAAATGAAAGACATATAACGCAATCTATAAAACATATGTATGGCCAACACACCCCTTTAATTCAATTAAACAATTTATCAAACATCTAACCAAATGCAAATTCACAAACCTCAATTATTGGAGAAATTTAACTCAGCCATGTCTGCTTCTAGCAGTAATTCACTACACCAAAAGAGACCTTTAGCGGCAATTGATTTTTCTTTTAGCGGCAATAGTTATTGCCACAAATACATTTATCGGCATTTGATTAAATGTCATTGGATCCAATGTTGCTAAAGCCTTTAGTGACATTTATGTCGGGTGCCGGTAAATACCCTCATTATTGCCACTAAAAGTAATTACTTTTAGCGGCTTTTATTTAGCGGCATTTACTATTGCCATTAAAGCTACTTTAGAAACAAGCATATTTGTGGCATTTAAATTCACCTTAATTCACATATTTTACCCTCTTTTATAACATCAAAAACAAAATTCACGAGAGAAATAAGTTCGAAGGTAGTAAAGAAGAATTATCAAACTCAAAACAATGTCATTCACTTAAAATAAGAACAAACAATCTTAATACATTCAATTTCTTATCTTGTAGCAGTAAAAGAAACTATGAATTATCAAAATAGAAAAAATGTGTTCAACAATGGAAACAATAAGGCAATTAAGCCAGTGTTTGTTCCCTAATGCAAAATGTGACAGCTTTCTGGATCAGTGTGTCAGTCATTCCTTGAACAAGCTCACCATTTGAATGAGTATGCCACTGTACACATATAGCGGTAGATGGTTAGACGACAAAAAATTGACATGCCAATTACATATCTTACTCACTAAGATCTAGGTGACTAAAATTTGAATTAGATACAGAATAGAAAAGCACCATCCATGGTCCCGTCATGTACCTAGTTCAGATATAATATTTCATATCACAACTAAGGAATCAATTGATAAGCAACAACCTCGTTAGCAAGAGGAATAAACTAAAGCAATGCCTTTTCAAATCCACCAAGCAGTTCATATATATGACGTCTTGGCAAGTCTAAAGTAGTGTGTTACTACACACCAACTCAAACACTAAGGTTCAGGAAACATTTACCGTCAAGCAAAATCTCAGAAAATGTTAATAATCTCATAATAACTTTTAGCTAGTTGATTATACTCCAATGCTTGACATATGACTTATCAAGAAATTAAAATCAAACTAAGCAGCAAATAGAGAACGGTAGTACCCAAGCTCAAGCATGTAAAACTTGATGTATAAGTAGAATATCAGCATTTTGTATAAGCAAAATATGAACATGAATACCAACCCTAAAAGCAGAATATCAACACGAATATCAACATGAGCAAAATAGTCTGTCTTATTATGACTGGAGCTACCATCAAACTCCAGATAGTGTTACGGGTTTCCAGAATTAGAAGATAATCTGGCTTATAAAGGCCATTGCTATGGAGGTCTTGGTGGAAAGAAATTCATGTTGTATTTATTTATAAGAAGTTACTGATTAATACATGCCATTACATTGTAAATTTAGTTATTTAATTAACATCGAGTTAGCCACTACTATCCTTCATCTGTATGGTAGATAACTTAGCTACCCTTCATCTGTATGCCATTACATTGTAAATTTCTTAAAAATACTCAGGGACTTATTGCAACCCAACCATTTCAAGCTTTAACATGAGAAAATTGACTAGCATGACATCTGCAAATCATGAGCTGATTGATCTTCAACATATCTCATGCGTCTTAAGAATTAAGCGGCAACAACAGCAAAAGTAATGGCTGTTTACACTTGGTTGTGAGACTTGAAACTAAGCAACTACCAAACTAAAATAGGAAAAGCAGCAGCAATTTACAGTTGGTTCTGATACTTGAAACTAGCAACCACCATCAATAATGGAATTATTGTTCAAGTTAACTACCTTAATCAATAATAAGATTTTTTGTTCAAAGAGCACCATCAAAAGCAATAGATATAACCTCACCCACTATCATACAAACTCGGATACAACAACTTGTGATGCTGTAATTAACACAGTATAGGAGAATATTAAGATTGAGCTCTGAATTGACACATTTGGAAGATCACTAAGTAGCTACGAATGAACCTGAAGGAAGTTCTTCATCATGGTGATGTATCCTCATGTCTGCTCTTCATTCCTTCAATCAAAGAACTACCTATATATAAAGAGAACAAGTAGTTTTAGTTAGTTTCACTTTCCCTAACTTGAAAAAATCTAAAATTCAACATACTCCATCAAGACATTAGCATTTACACCCCCTCCATCTTGATCTCTTAAAAGCACTTAACCTAGTGAAACAATAAAATTACATTATTCCTACATTAGGATCCTCTATAATCCAATTCTTGCAATAAACAGAATCACTCGTTTAACATACTTGACTTCTATTATCAATAAACAGAATCACTGGTTTAACATACTTGACTTCTATTAAGAGCCCTTTTGATTGATAAAGAAATAATACATTTACACTAAGAATAACAGAAAATATCTTGGATAAAGAAGGAGGGATCCAATGGATTGACAACCAACATGAAGTTAATTGATTTATGATGAACCCACACAAAATGGTATTACATTAACAATTGACACATAACGAGATTGAACTAGGAATGCAAAAACAAGTACAAGCCATAATAATATGAGATACATACAGGTTACTCATGCCCAGTATTTTGGTCTTCTAAGTTCAACACCCAAAGTAACATCAATAGAACTACAGAAGTGTAGAAGATTACAAGCAAAGTGATACTTAGTCCTTCTGGGAATAGATATCCTCTATTCACAATTACTCATTGTATGAAATACAGTTGTACAGTATGCAAATGAGCTGGAGCAGACCAATACCTATGTTAATGTTCCTCGAATTTCTAGAAGGAATACGAGTGAAAAAATGTAGGTACATTAGGAACTTGAATATCATATTTTGCATAAGTGCGCGAAGTCTCAAGTTCACCGCATAAAACTGTAAAAGTACACTCTATTGATTCACTAGCCTGACTTCGGCAGCAGAGATCAAGAAAATATTTAGCCTAGTAATTGAACATTTTAGTTTTATATGAATAAATGTAGTTTCAATTAACTACTAAGTTTAGTTGTTTACCTTCAAATAGGAGATCAAAAATCGAACTCCACAATAGCTAATTTGGTTGCTATCTGCAATTCCGCACCAATTTTATTGGACACAAGATCAGACTATGCGATATAGAAACACATGCATCAATTCAAACAACATAAAAGATAGAACTCTAGAACATACACTCATACAAGGCCCAACAATTGAATAAAATGGATATTAGTAGTCACCAAACGGCATGGCCGTACAGTTCGAATTCAATCCGATTGAATATGAGGCAATCGACGATGATGAATTTGCTAATATGAATACAAACTGCTGACAGTGAGCTTGTGAAAAGACGTCGACGGCTTTGATTCGTCTTTCTTCTCATCAATAACACTGATGTACTGAACTCTGTCGCCGTTGTGCCGAACTCCACCGCTGTTGTGCCGATTTCCGCCGCCGTCGTGTTGATTTCCATTGCTGACCATTTGAGTTTCGTTGAAGGGAGAAGACGGAGGAATATTCAAAGTAAAAAGGAATTGGGGCAAAAGTAAAAATAAATAAATCAATTCAGTGAAAAGGAATTGGGGCAAAAACGATTATACCCTATTTATTTTTAATTGCCAGTGAAAAGTACTTGGTATACCGGCTAAAGTTTAAATGCCGATAATTGTATAGTTTATATGATGTATAGTGGCAATTTGTTTATTGCCACTAAATAAATGCCACTAAAAGCATTTTTTATTGTAGTGATAATGACTAAAATAAACAGAGTAGGGAGTAATGACTAGAATGAACGGTACAAATACTGATTTTGATGCTAAATTTTATATTGATGGAGTAGTTCAGAATTATCATTAAGGGGTGTGAATGATTGTGGTAAAATATATAATGATGAGCCTAGTAGGATAAGAACATACTCCTTCCATTTCAAATTAATTGAATTGTTGAGATATTTTTTATTTTTCAAATTAACTCAATTGTTCAAATCTCAAGACTACTTTCAGAATGTTCTTCCAATTTTACCATTCATTAGTTACTATTGGAATTAGTTATTAATTAATGTTTAGTTATTTTAATCATAAATTTGACAATAATTAATAAGGGTAAAAATAGAAGGTTATGCCTAATTTATGTCTTAATCTTTTTTTTCTTAAATGGTGTGAAACACCTCAACAATTCAATTAATTTGAAATGGAGGGAGTACCATCTTAAGTAATTTTCGCAACACATTAACAAGGACTAAACCTTTAACTTGTTTCAAGAGGTATATATATAGATATATTATTAATTTTAATTATTAAATTAAAAGTGGGAATACCTCAAGTTAAAAGTTGAATCACGAAAATATCCTTGCCTCAAAATAAGAATTATTTTTTCATTAAATGAATAATTTTGCTATATAAACCAAATTTATATAATTGTATCTTGATGATCATTCTTCATTGAGAAACGGAAATCAAAATGCCACATCGAAAAGGCACACCCATTAATTATGGCAAAAGAAGTCCAACAATCTCTTTTTTAATTTTATTTTGATAATGGCCAAGCTATGTAACTGATATATTCAAAACTTTTGGCTTTCAAGCTTTTGACATTTTAAAGGTAAAACAATATCAGCCTTTAATAATCAATTTCCACTGATCCTCCTTGACCAGTAATCTTCTCATTCTCTTTTTAATGTTTTCTTCAATTTAAATTTGAATTACGAAAGAATCCACGTCCAAAAAAGATTAATCATTTTATTCTTTAGTTAAAATCCTATTCAAGTAATATTTTTGTGAAAAATTTAAATATACATTTTAATAAATTCATGTAGCTACTAATATCCTCTTGGCTATATTATATGGGCGTAAGAAAAATACTTATTGGTTATTGCATTAAGTGGACAAATATTAATTCTTTCAACTGAGGAATTTGTATCCACTAATTTATTATTTCATTGATGATAAGTTATATAGAAAGTTCTAAACTCTATATAATAAGAAAAGCATGTGATTTGTAGATACTCAAATCTCTTTTCTTCTCTATTATTTTTAAAACTGTTTTGAACGATTAATATTTTTGTACCCTTGCTTTGATCATGTTTATTTAATGCATTTTTCTTATATTCCTCCTGAACGCATATTTTATATAAGCTTATTGTTGGGTTTCGAATCTTTTTTTCCCTTTCTATGTGGATAAAATTGGGAAAATTGTATATAATAGCAAACTATTAATTTAAATTAAATGCTATAAATATAGTTTGATTTAATTGTACCTCTTAGCAAATTGTTGCTATTTCACCTCTCTCCTGGTGAATCTCGCTCGCCACTCTCGTTCTCTCCCTCGCCTCTCTCGTTTTTTATACAAACGCAAGTGTATAAAGTACGTTTGTGTTTGTATAAAGCAAGAGAAAATTGTATATATACATATATTTTCGTTCCCCTCTCCCAGATCT